CATTTAAAGTCAGTGGGGTCCAATGTTGTTTGGGAACCCAATGTTCTTTTGTGTTTTGCAGAAGATCCTGGTAGTATGAAAAAGCATTGCTAAATGAAAATAATCAAATGCAACTTACCATGTAATCATGTATAAATCTACGTTTATAAGCAGAGGAAACTCTTCTCATATCTTTTGATGATGTCAAAGGCTGTGTGATCAACCTCTCAAACACAGTTTGCTTTTTGCAATCAATATTGGCTGGTGAGAACTTAAAACCATCAAAATGCAGTTTTGCATAAAAAACAGTTTAGGTACTTAACAGTTTTGCTCTAATCTAAAACCCGTGTCTTGGAGCAAAACCAGATGCTGATCAAAAGCAAAATCAGAAGTGTTTGATCTCCAGCAGCTTGAGTTGGAGCAGGACAGCAGGTCTGAGTGTCTGTGACTCAGCAGAATCCATTGGCTTGTTGTAGAGTCACAGTCTCTGCATGTGTGAACAGAAAGGCAGAAATGATCTGCCTTCAGACTGAGATGCAGTCTTACGTGAAAGCAGATCGTTCAGGACTTCTCTTAAGCACTTTGAGTGATTGTACACTGATAGACGGTCAGGAATGATGACGAGTGTTTAGTGGAGCATCTCTCCATTGTGTGCCACACAAGCAGAAGTTTTTGAGATCCTTACAGTGACCTCTAGTGCTCGCCATCATGCTGTATGTAAGATACTGTTGTTTTACCTCTAGAACAGCTGCATCATTCATGTTCTGCAGTTGTTTTTAAAATATGAATTGACTGTGTCGTAATTTAAAGAGATAGTTGCAGAATAGTTGCCGGTAGCCATTGACTTACATGGTGTTTTCTCCATAATATAGAAGTCAATGGCTACCGGCACCTGTTTGGTTACTTCAAAATATCTTCTTTGAAATAGCTTGAGGGTGAGTAAATGATGACAACATTTTCATTTTCGGGTGAACTATCCCTTTATAGACGTATTTCTAAGAAGAGACTTTAATAAATGTGTTCTGGTCAAACTCATACACTTTATTCATTATAATATGATTATTTAAAGTGATAAGATGATTAGGGTGCTTTAAACTTTTCTTGTGTTTAGTTCCATTGAATTGACTCTCATTGAAAGACTGTTTGGTAAAGACTGATGATGTAGTTTTATTAGTTTAGGTTCTGTAATCTGAATGGGAAATTGTTAATCCAGCGTCAGCTTCCTCTAACTGGAATGACTAGTTGCAGAATAAGCGAACATGCCTGTGAAAAGCCTTGACGTTTCTCCTGACATGTGAAACAGAGTTCACTCGGCGTTTTCCTGTAGCACCAGGTGCAGATGTTGGCAGGCTCTGCTTTCGTAGACCTTTATTCCCCAGGAGTTTCTCTGATTCCAGTCTTTCTATCAGTCTCCAGGGTAGTTTTTTTGCAACGACAGCAATTTTGCTGTACGACCCTTTCAGTGCGGACCACCGATGTAAATTTGAAAATTGCCCAAGTCTGTGCTTCTACTGAATATATTTATGAGTCCAGTGTACAAATCCGTTTAATGACCAGTAGTCAGCTGGTAAAGTCAAGTTCAGAGATTTATTTTGGTCTCTCAGACGAGGGAAATATTTTTCTCCTGAGGTTCCTGTACTGTTCTTTGGAAAATTTGTTATACATTTTACAATTTTGAAAAAATTATTGCAAAAATTTAAAAATTTTATTTTTGTGCTTTTTTTGTAATAAACTAATAAAATAATCTGCCAAATGCCTTTTTTATAAAGAGACTAAACTTAAGTTTGTGCTAAAATTTATTGAACTAAATATATAAAATATAGTACACTAATTTCATTAAAAAAATAAATAAAAATCGCCACACAAGCAGCAACAGAGGGTTAATAATTTACTTAATTTGCTAAAGCCATCTATCCATCCATATAGAGAGATTTGTTATACTTCCTATAGCTTTTAAGCAGTGGCAGAAAGGCATATATATATATATATATATATAATATTTTAATATATATATAATATATTATAATGTGTTTTTATAATAAATTAAAATAAAATTCACAAATTATTTTAATTTAATAATAATATTAGAAATAATCTATTATATGAATTATATCTAAATATTGAGTATACTACAATTGTTTTTATATTAATTGTAGTCAAATATTAAGACTGATGATGTAGTTTTATTAGTTTAGGTTCTGTAATCTGAATGGGAAATTGTTAATCCAGCGTCAGCTTCCTCTAACTGGAATGACTAGTTGCAGAATAAGCGAACATGCCTGTGAAAAGCCTTGACGTTTCTCCTGACATGTGAAACAGAGTTCACTCGGCGTTTTCCTGTAGCACCAGGTGCAGATGTTGGCAGGCTCTGCTTTCGTAGACCTTTATTCCCCAGGAGTTTCTCTGATTCCAGTCTTTCTATCAGTCTCCAGGGTAGTTTTTTTGCAACGACAGCAATTTTGCTGTACGACCCTTTCAGTGCGGACCACCGATGTAAATTTGAAAATTGCCCAAGTCTGTGCTTCTACTGAATATATTTATGAGTCCAGTGTACAAATCCGTTTAATGACCAGTAGTCAGCTGGTAAAGTCAAGTTCAGAGATTTATTTTGGTCTCTCAGACGAGGGAAATATTTTTCTCCTGAGGTTCCTGTACTGTTCTTTAGAAGACTTTTTGATGTTCATGTGGGTAACACCTCATTTCATACCTTTTCAACATATCTGTGTGACTCCACGTCCAGGTCATATTTCACCCCAAAAATATATTCTTTTGCATGGAGAAATTTAAGTTTTATGCATGTGGTATATATGTTTTTTGTCAATTATAATATGAATTACTTTTAAAATGTATGTAATTTCTGATTACTTTCAAGACTGATTCTGATTGGATTCTATTTATTATAAAATAGTTTTTAATTAATTAATTAGTTTTAATTTGATTAATTATATATACATTTTAATGTAATTGTTTTTAATTAATTAAATTCACACATTTGTATTTAATAATAACAATAATCTATATTATTAAATAATAATAATCTATTATGTTAATTTTAATTTAATAATAATATTAGAAATAATCTATTATATGAATTATATCTAAATATTGAGTATACTACAATTGTTTTTATATTAATTGTAGTCAAATATTAATGAGATAATAGTAGCATGAATTGGGGGGGGGTACTTAATTGTCTGCACATTAGGAAAAATATAATTATGTCTTTCTTGTGATTTTTGGGTGAAATATGGCAGGTGAGATTTACCCGTCTGTTCAGGAGGGCTTTAAATAAAGACTGGAAGTCTTCCATCTTTCATCAAGAGGCATTGCTGTCTACAGTACATCACCATCTACTTCAGTGAAACTGTGTTTCTTTTCAGGTAAGAAGTGGACATGAGAGGTCCAGAAACTTATCTAGATCAGTGTGTTCTGCCAGAAAACCCTCAGCAAGCTAAACAGCTAGCTGTTTTTGTTTACCTACTTCTGTTTGCCTAGTTACCATTTTTATTGCATTTTGTTGACACTGTTTGCTTTGCGGACTCTGCCGTCTGCCTCGGTGATAGGTGGTCTGTTAATAAAGAGTCAGATATATTTATATTTAGCCATTCAAGAATCGGTTCCAGCGCTCGGGCTGGTTTTAAGCTAAGAGACTTCCATTCATCCGCACACAGACTGGTTAAAAGACGTCTGCCAGAGCCAGACTCAACCCCGTCCCGAAGCCCAGACGCCTGCAGCTCGGTGAGGGAACGCCGGCCGGATGTTTGGGGTTGGGATGTGGAAGTACGGCTGCCATCTCCAGTCCAGGTGCTCACGCTGACATATGTCAGAAGCGTTCGGTGCCCGAATCAATTAGCTTCTCTGCTGTCGAGCAGGGAGGACAAATTGGCAAAGTGTTTTGTTTAAATAAATGGCCTTGGTGGAGTTTTTCCAGGGGGAGCGAGGCTTGTAGGAATGTGTGGTCTCATCGTTCTTAGAAATAAGTCGTTGCAGCATCGTCCGTTGACAACATGTTTACTTATTCACACCATCGCAAAACCGAAAGCTGAGACCTCCCTGCTGCGGCCGGATTGTGTAATGTGGTATATTTATTGAGTTTCAATCCATCGTGATGTGGTTTGTATACAGTAAGTTCACGTTCTGCATGATGAAGCTTGCTTAATGCTATTCAGGACCATTTTGGACCAGAGAAGAGCGCAAACCCTGAATCTTAAAAGGGATAGTTCACCTTAAAATGAAACTTTTGTCATCCTTTACTCACCCTAAAGTTGTTCCAAGCCTTTATGTTGAACACAAAAGAAGATATTTCAAAGAATGTTACCAAACAGTTGCTGGTAGCCACTGACTTCCATAGTATTTATGGAAGTCAATGGCTACCAGCAACTGTTTGGCTACCAACATTCTTCAAAATATCTTCTTTTGTGTTCAGCAGAAGAAAGAAACTATTGCTTGGGTGAACTATCGCTTTAAGCATTAAACATTGGCACAGAAGTCATCAGATTTTCACCTGCTCGATGTTAAAATGAGTTAAAAATCCCACAAACCTACACTGAAGGACTCGAGCCGCATCTAAAGACCAGAAACGGTTTTTGATGCAAATGGGAAACACTTATCGAACTGCCCGTCTCACAAGGACTCTGAGTTTCGGCAAACATTGATAAAGTTCCCTGCCAAACATCACCATTAAACCACAGAACACAAGCAAAACATTCTGTCTTGTCGAGCTGTACGAGTTTGTGTTCTGGCGATAACGCCGCTGCGTTAGTGTTTTTCACTAATTGTTTTTGACTAATGTTTTCCCTCTGATTTCTCGTTGTTATGAAGCAGGTCAGACGGTTTCTTGGAGACCAGCGTTATAGGGTTGTTTTCATGATTGGATAAATCACACAAAAACATGTCCAGGTCACATTTCACCCCAAAATCATATTTTGAGAAAATAAATTACACCTTTTTAGGATTATTTTGCGGGCCATTTACCAGGGTGATAACTAAAGCCATTCAAATAAATTTTCATTACTTGAAACAAAACACATTTTTTACTAAACTGAAATAAAATAAAATATGAAAACTCACCTTATTTCAGCTTGTTAACAAGGCATTTTTGTTTAGTTTAACGTAAATTACTAAAATAATTAAAACTAAATATGCTAAAACTAATAGATAAAAATTAATTAAAAAACTATGTAACACAAAAAAAACTAAAGACTAATAAAAATAAATCCCCAAAACACAACAAAATTACTAAAACTTAAATTTAAAGTAATATGAAAACAGAAAATATAAAAATGATATATAATTTAAAGTAACTAATAAAAACTATAATAGTACATCTATGATACTAAGATAACATTGCTGTTTACTAATATATAATATAATATTTGTTTGCATTATGACATTGACAAATGTTATATATATATATATATATATATATATATATATATTTACACACACACATATATATATATATATATATATACACATATATGTATGTATATACTTGTTTCATATTATTTAAATCAGCATTAAATAATTCATTTTTTTTCACATTATATTTTCTTGAATTGTTTTTTTTTTAATGAATTTAGGTCAAATGTGCTTACTTGTCGTATCTTTTTCATCATGCAAAATATTCCACTTATTTAACCCTTTTCAGTTTTGGAAAATATGATGTGTTGACATGAGTGTTCTTGACAGGTTTTGTGTGATTTATCCACGTCACTTACCTTTTAAAACATTGCTAAACTCCTTCCAAGCTCTGCGCAGTAACCAGTGGCCCTCAGCTTTGTGTTGAAAGTCTAATGAAGTTTTTCAGCCATCACATTAGGTTTTCAGGTGATGTGATCAAGCCGCCAGTGAGGTTTCCCGCTTAAGTAACGTGAAATCTGCCTGTCTGAGTTCTGAAAATATCGCCGCTTGTTTTATTTTGTCGTCTTGCAAAGGAAATGGTGTAATTGATCTTTACAAGGACGCTGTGAGTGGAATTCTCCCGCTCTTCCTGTTACCTCTTCTAGTGTAATCAAATAATGGATTTGGTTTCAGAACACTGCAGCAGCAGAGGAGAGGAAATGATCTTCAGCAGGCTTGTTTATTTGACTTCTGCCATTCTGTTGCATGAAAGCTCGGCCTTTTCCTCCAGCACTGTAACGTGACATGAACCAGAGGCCCGCCGAGGCCAGTGTCGCTTGAAAATGTGTTGTAATTCAAATTGATTTGTCTAATTAAGGAACAAGATCTGTGTGCTTTCCTCAGGCCAGGAATCTGTCTCTGAAGTCGCTGGCACTGAATTCACAGTCGTGTTGAGCTCTTTCAGTCTTCTGCTCTCATATGCAAGCATGTTTTTGGATTCTGGACTGGTGTTCATTTGCTCACCTTCATGTCGTTCCAAATGCAGCTTTTTGTTTTGAAACACAAAAGATGTTTCGCAGAACGTCTGAGCTGCTATTGTGCTCATATGATACAATTTAAGATCTTAAGATGTCCGGTGATAACATTTACTTGGAGTTGTTTGTTCAACTATTGTTAACTAAAACTAAACTATAAAAATATATATTTTCAGTACTTGAAACAAAATAAAAGTTAACATTTGTATCAAAGTTAGCTTGTTGCCGAGGCAAAATTTCTCATTTTCATGTAGTTTAACTTGAAGTACTAAAGTAACTGAAGCTAAATCAACTAAAACACATAAATAAAAATTAGTTTTTTTGTTTGTTTTTTGTTGGAGACCAACATTGAAGGTGGATCAATTTTGATGATTGGATAAATCTCACAAAAACATATCCAGATCACATTTCACCCCAAATTAGAAGAAATAAAATAAATAAATAAAATCTGTTTTTTAGACTATTTATTAGTTTATATATATATATATTATTGTTTTTATATTTTAATTTATTTTTTTATTTGTATAATTAATTTATAAAATAATATATAATATAAAATAATAATAATAATATAAAATAATACAAATGACAAAAGCACAACACAATTACTAAAACTAACTAAAATTATAAAAAAATATAAAAATAAAATCTAATTCCAAATATTAACAAAAAACTAGAATATTATATCAAAATGATGATACTAAAATAACACTGTATAAATACATGTAATAAATGCATGTTTTTTTAAATGTCTATATAAATATCAGAATGCAAAATATTATATTATATTTGCATTGTGACATTTTTTTTACTTTTAAGCACATTTCCTCCTCATATTCCCCCTCAATTCATTCTGGATGCTTTTTTTTTTTGTAACTTTTGATTCTCATTCGTTATTTTCATTACTGTAATACAATAACAACTTATATTTTGCTTCCGGTCGTACAGACATGAGGGTGAGGTAATAATGCCTGAACATACGATTTTGCTCACAAGAATATCAGTACATTTGATTTTTGTTAGTCTTTTTCAGTGTTTCATTAAAAGAAAACAAGGAGGCCAGTTTTTCCTGAGGCCAGCTGTCAATCAAACCATCACCACATTCATGTTTTCACAGTGTGATTTTTCTTTTTCTTTTTCTTCTTTTTTTTTTTTTTTTTTTCAGTGAAACCAAAAACGATAATATCGAGATGGGTAAAAACACCCTCAATCTTATGAATACCACTGTAGTATGATAACTCAGGCATCTCAGAAATGGTAAAACAGTCCTTCGCCGCTCGAATAAACTGTCAACAGCCTCGCTGGAAAAAGACCACAGAGATCCCAGTGTTCATGAGTGAATGGAATAACAGCCCAACTTCATTCAGCTTTGATCAACCTGTAAAATTAGAGCAATTACTAAACTTAATCTGATATTTTGCAGAAGACAGGTTTGCGAGCCAGGGATTGCAAATGGTACGGAAAAACCTTCCTTAAGCCTGAAAAGAGCCGCACTGTGAGACTTTTAAGGGATCATGTTTTTTTTGTTGTTTTTTTTCCTTTTGGGCTAAATTCAATCAAATGTTTTCCTTTAAATAGGTTTATATACATTTAACCCTGAATTTGTGAGAGGATTTTCTTTTTCCCGAAAATGCTACTTAATGTTATCGCATTGCACTAAAACTTACTATTTAAATTAAGTTAATTTAATTTAAAAAGTAAGTTTTAGTAATTTTGTCTTTCTCATTTTCATTTTTTTTAAAAATATATTCAACAATTATTTAATTTTATTTAATATAGTATAATTCAAAAATATATTATATTAATTATATTACATTACATTACATTATATAATATTATATATAGGCCTCATTGATCTGAGCTTATGCACCTAAGTTTTTTAATGAGCATTGACAAAATTATCCACAAATCATGCTTTTTAGATTTTATTTTTATATTTTCTTTTTTCGCTTATATTATATTATATTATATTATATTATATTATATTATATTATATTTGATCTATGACCAATCAGTCCAAAAAATAAATACAAAACCTGTGCTAATTAAAAGAAAACAAATTGACAAAAAGATAGAATCCAAGATGTGGTGATAATATAGCATAAGAGAGATTTATAAGCAAGGGTTAAGAGAATAAATGATTATAAACTGTATTATTACTCTTAGTTTGCTCGTTCAGATCTAGTCGAATGGGTCATAAAATTGTTAATGTATCATTGTACATCAGAATACTATCCTTTATAAATATAATTCCTCAGGAAAGTGGTTCTGGTTTCCGAGGATGATGGGGAATTTTGGCTGGGGTGCGTGTGGAGAGTGGGGGATGAGATTCTGCATACTTACAGCCATTTTTGTCTATTAAAAACCATTCCTCTGTGAAACGGTGGGACAGACATGGCAGCCGGTATGTCGACCTTGGTGTGATGCCAGGCCAGAGAGATCTATATTAAAGTCTTGTGGCGCGGCGGTAAATGCTCCCCCTGTGTGTGCATGTGTGGGGTCCGTCCCGCTCGCACACTCACATGAACGTTCCTGAGCAAATATATTTATGACCAGCAAATGTTTACAGATGCCGAGAACTGCTTGTGTGTATTCCAGGACTCAAGGTGGATTAAGTTTGTGCCTCTTGAAATACACAACTACATATCTAACATTGACCGATAAATTAAAGAATGTCAGCCGATATCGACGGATAACTAATATGTACCACTATATTGCTAACATGTAAAAAAAAAAAAAAAAAGTTCAGGTCCGATAGTCAATATCACAAAATATCAAAATTTCAACCTTATTTTTAGGACAATTAATTTTTTTTTCATTCTTAATTTATTGTAATGACAATTAAGCACAATTATCAATACCACAATGCAATAATTTTTTTTGACAGATGTTTTTCCTCTGATTTCTCATGAAGCACATTTCCTAAATATTTTTTACAAAAACATTTAGTACTTGAAAAATGGCACATGATGAACCTGCTTAACGGATGATTCAATCAAAGCAATCAAGAGTTTTGAATTGATTCATTAAAAAAAAAAAAAAAAGAAAGAAATAAGAAACTATATTTTGAGTAAATTAAAATGCACCTTTTTATGACTTTATTTAAAAAAAAATTATTTTTTGGCTATTTACCGGGGTTATTATTGTTAACTAAAACTGAAACCATTAAAAAAATGTATTACTTACAAAATACATTTTAAACTACAAAATTAATTTGAACTGAAATAAAATATTAATTTAAATGGACAGTCTGAACTGATTCACATAAATTAATCAAACTTAGCACCTTTAACGTTTTTTTTTTTTTTTATTAAAAGAAAGAATAAAATACAAATAAATAAAATAAAATATGACTTTTTTTAGGACTGTTTATTAGGGCTTTATTATCGTTACTTAAAACTAAAATACACTTAATACACTTGAAATATAATAATAAACTTAAAATATAAATCTCTTTCATTTCCTGAAACAAAATAAATGTTAACTGAAATAACAGGATTTTACTGTAGCATTTTTACAGTCTTTTACCGTTAAATTCACGGTCATTTTTTACAGTGTACCAGTTAAAAATTAATAACCGTAAGCATATAAAATCATATAAATTATCAATAATTAGTTGATCTTTTTAAATGCAAAACGTCTTAATGATCTTTT